TTGTCCATTATTATGACCGACCGTTTTCCCGGGAAGGGGCTGCAGTAAGGTAGCAACTGCTCCATGAACTCCAAGAAGAGTGGAGCGTCAGTAGAGCCTTGATAAATCCGAAAATAGACGATTCCATCTTGGTCATAGGCTGGTAAGATCTGATATCGCTTTCCACGGGGGTACTGTACAATCTTCTCGGGTGTGACACCACGGGGCGCCCAGCCGTGGCGGTATCCAATCGTCTTATCACATCCCGACTCATCGACATACATCCTGCAATACGAAGGAATCTCGGAAACAACATACTCGTAGTAATCGCGCACATCGGGGTTCCTGCCCCTAGCGATAAGTCGCATGGCTTTCGGGGACCAGCCCTCGAAGGCAAGTGCCCTTCTTATCGACCAGCGAGAAAGAAGGGTGTCAAAAAGGTCCCATATGAACATTCTTATTCCATCCAAATCTGTATCAGGTTTTTCAACCAGGTATTCAAACAAGGCAGCTCGCATTGCTGTGGTCACCGAGGAGCGTGGACCGCTACGGGTACGAGGTGCAGTAGTGCTGCCGAAACACGCTAGGTTGGCTCGATGTCGGCGGATAGTTCGGTCGGTACACTGGGCAACTAGGGCCTTTTGCCGATCTTTTAGCCCTCCACGGATGATCATATCACGGGTTTCCGCATGCTGCCTGGTAGCAAGATTCGGAGCCATCGCGAGTTACGACGGTGCTCATGGGTCGGCATCCACAGGGCAGTGAAGTGTACAGTATTCCGCACGCACAGCGCATCGACATCAACATCAGGAGCAGAAGAGTCTATGGACGGATAAAAGATCGTAGCGGAGAGCGTGTCCAGATTCATGGAATCTTCTAGTCTGCAGCCGAGGACCAATGCCGTCACGTGACAGCTCTGGTATAATCCGCAGTGCGCAGGGGTTGCAGTACAGTACCGGAAGCATGGTCGGTGGAATCGCTGTTGTTTGCGATGAATATCCTGGCGCGCAGCAGAGAAGATGTCACACCTCCATCTAGCCTCTTTAACGCGGCTCTGGGCTCCCCTTTCCTGCGAATGAGAAGGTGTAGTCAACGAGCAGCATCCATCGACAAATTACCACGTATAAGTTGGTCAACGCGGCAGCCACCATACATAAAGTTGATGCGGAGCTGTGGCTTGTCGTACAGTAAATCCCTTCTTGCGGTATGCACACTTACAACTCCAAGCTGAAGATCTTACCCAAGTGACCACAGAGCACAGGACCGAACTATCTACACAGTACACTGTTAAATCCGGCGTTACATTTATGCCGCGCGGCGCCACTTTTGGGCCATAAATTTTCAAAAGCTTACTGCCACACCTTACTCCAAGCAGCTAAGCGCAGCTAACTGCAAGACCCAATAATTACTGTTCAGGTGGGCTACACAGGAAGCAGCTAATCGTGCGGGGTGAGAGCGTGGTGAGTCACATAAAGATGCCCAAACCCAGGCCACGTCACCTGCTATTTTTAAAGGGGCCATTTCCTCCCGTGAGCTCCAGTCATCATCGTCGCACCAAAGTACTTAATATACTGGTCTAAAGAATGACGAGTGACGAGAATCCGATTCCCAAGCCGAGCAGTGAGAGCGGCATGACAACCTCTTTAATGAAGGGGTGCGGCACGGACTGCGAGACTAATTGTGCACCATGCGACGGTAGTGTTGACCCCAGCCCACAGACTTGATCACTCTCCTAAGTTGACTTTCCAGAAAGCTGCATTCGAGCCATTGCGGCCGAACAATGTCGTAGCAGCGAGGCCCATTGCACTCCTATATCTCCAAACACGGACGACCGTTGTGCCGGTTCACGCTGCGTGGAAAAGAACTCCAATACTTGTGTCTCCGAGACTTCCGAGAGCTGCTTTGACGACACAGCAACTGATACCATCGACAAGAGCAACAGCTGCAACAAGGGGGGATGCATTTCTGTCTCGAAGTATGACAGCTATACCTCTACTAAAGCCGATTACGGAGGCGCTGTCAAGGACAACACATGCTGTGATAACGAAAAAACTGGCCCCGACACCAAGAACGATTGCTGCATCAGTGAAATTGTTGAAACTCGCAAGAGTGACCAACGTGGCGAGTCCAGTGACATCATCTGCGAGACTCATCTTCAACGCGCCTTCGATGAATATTCAAAGTACCTCGAACGAGGGCTTTGTATCTGCAGAAGCGTACTCAATCATTTGGACGGATGCTGCAGTAAAGCTCTTGCCACAACCCCAAAGCGCCTTGTCTCTATCAACTCTTGCGGGAACTCCACCTCCGTTGCAGCCCGCTTGTCGCCCGACCTTCACCGCACAATGAAAAGGCCTAGCAGCAAATCATGCTGCACGAATCAAGCTACTGGTGATGTCAAAGCCCTGGCTCGAGAGACATCATACTCTCTCGATGATATCATTATCTCATCTATGAACCCCGCAGAATCGGCTCTAAGCAAACCCTCAATCATTGATGAGGAGAAAGACGCTGCACGTGAGCACGTTGTCCTTAGCGTGTCTGGCATGACTTGTACTGGTTGCGTTCAAAAATTGACTAACGTTCTCCACAACGTCGACGGCGTCTTTGCTGTAAAGGCTACCTTCGTGACGGGAATTGCAGAATTCGATTTCGACCAGAATACCGCAAAACTTGAGGACATTATTCCACGCATTCAAAAGGAGACAGGGTTCAAATTCTCGCAGATCGTGAGTACCCTCCAGGCACTGGATCTTCTTGTTGATCCTTCTGTTACCCACCAAGCTCTTGAGCGGCTTTATGATCTGTGTGAGTCTGTTGAAAAAGTCAACAAGACCACCTATCGTGTGAGCTATGACCCCACTTGTGTGGGTGCCAGGACCATCCTGGCCTCTGATCCTGGTATTCACCTGGCTCCTCCAGGAACCGATGGCAAGTTGGCCGATGGCCGTCGCAGACTCATACACATGGCATGGGCTACAGCATTGGCCGCCCTCTTCACTATACCAATCGTTGTGTTGGCTTGGTCTGATGGTCCAGTACCTTATTCTACCAGTTCGATAGTGGAACTGGTCCTCGGCACCCTTGTCCAGGCGATTGCTGTGCCAGAGTTCTATACAGGAGCACTTAAGTCTCTTATTTACAGCCAGGTCATCGAAATGGACATGCTTGTCGTTATCAGCATCACGGTGGCATATGGATATTCAGTTGTTGCTTTCGCGCTCACTCGTGCGGGCTATGCTTTGCAAGAGAAAGCTTTTTTTGAAACAAGCTCCCTCTTGATAACTCTGGTCTTGCTTGGACGACTCGTTGCGGCAATCGCCAAAGTTCGAGCTGTGTCTGCGGTCTCTGTACGATCGCTGCAGGCTGAAAAAGCAATTCTCCGTGATTCCTCTATTGAAGGAACAGCCGAAATCGACGCAAGGCTGCTTCAATTGGGGGATGTCTTCATCGTTCCAGCACACAGCACAGTCCCTACAGATGGAGAGATCATAGAGGGTACAAGCGCTGTCGACGAGTCGATGCTGACGGGCGAGAGCATTCCTGTCCCAAAGACGACAGGAGACCAGCTGATCGCGGGGACTACCAATGGTCCTGGAACCCTAACTGTCCGTCTCACCCGACTGCCAGGCAAAAACAGCATCACGGATATTGCAGGCTTGGTGGAGAATGCTCTCGCTTCTAAGCCTCGCATTCAGGATCTTGCGGACAAGATTGCCTCTTATTTTATCCCGGGCGTCATTATTGTTTCCTTGATCGTATTCGCCATCTGGGTCATAGTCGCCCTCAAGGTGCGTGGCGAGAACGGAGGCAGCGCTATTGGCTTGTCGATCACCTACGCCATTGCTGTTCTAGCTGTTTCTTGCCCATGTGCACTCGGTTTGGCAGTACCGATGGTACTCGTCATTGCAGGTGGCGTCGCCGCCCGACAAGGCATTATCATCAAGCAGGCTGATGCAATCGAAAGAGGTTACAAGGTCACTGACGTTGTCTTCGACAAGACAGGGACCATCACCACGGGAGAGCTAGAAGTTGTCCACTCGCAAACCTATCCTGATGCAGGATACGCTGAGGACGAGATCACTTCTGTCACCAGGACTCTCATCCAAGATAATCAGCATCCTGTTTCTATGGCTGTCGCTACTGATCTAAAGAAAGCTGGCGGCAAGCTCTGCAAACTCGAGGACCTGGAATCCATTCCTGGATCGGGGATTCGAGGTGTGTGGAATGGGCGAGTTGTCCGTGCAGGCAACCCCTTCTGGCTTGACATCGAGAGTCGCCCTGAAATCTCCGCATTAGCGGATCAGGGTATGACGGTCCTTTGCGTGGCTATTGATGCGGAACCCGTTGCCGTGTTTGGGCTCAAGAGCAACATTCGCCCCGAAGCCGCCAGTGTCATTGCAGACCTCCACAGTCGCGGCCTGACGTGCCACATTGTAAGCGGCGACACATCGAAAGTCGTCAATGATGTCGCACAAGCCGTTGGTATTCCCATCTCGAACGTTGTGTCGCGATACGCGCCGGCACAGAAGCAGAATTACGTCCAGGGCCTGATGGCTTCCAAGAAAGTCGTATTGTTCTGCGGCGACGGAACAAATGACGCTGTTGCGGTCGCCCAAGCCAATGTCGGTGTACAGATCGGAGCTGCATCCGCCGTGACCCGAGGCACCGCTGATGTCGTCTTACTTGGTGGGCTCGACGGCGTGCCAGCGCTTCTCACTCTGTCGAAGCGATCATTCCGCAGAATCACCTTCAACTTCGTGTGGTCAGCAATTTACAACTTGTTTGCGATCCTGCTCGCTGGAGGGGCTTTCGTTAAGGTTCGCATCCCTCCCGCATATGCAGGCCTCGGAGAGATCGTGAGCGTCATGCCTGTCATTCTGGCGGCTCTGACTCTCTTGAGGGTCAGACTATTCAGCCCAGTTCCAGTCTGACCTGGCGTCCTTGCTGGCGGCCGTGAAGTGCGGCCTTAGACCATGTTTCGAAAGCTTCATCAGGAGCTTGGCAAGCTGCTCGCGAGATCGTTCTTGAGGCTGTTGACTATTCAATCAGGGATGTACTGTAGTGTCCGAATTACCCTGCTTAAACTAGTCTCAATATGATGCCGGCGCTGGCTGACATGTTCAGACGTGATGGGAATTGGCTTGGGCTCAAGTGTGAGCGGCGTTTCTGGTTAAATAATTCCAGGGAAGCATTCTGACTACAAATAAATTCGGCGTGATGTTCTGCGATATCGACCTTGCCCCGTTGCTTAACCGCAGAAGCTTGATCGCCTGTTTTGCCTATGTTTGGAAGGCGCTGAGGACAGCCTTAAGCTCAGCCGATAATGTGCAATAAGTTGATCAGGCAAAGGTAGAATAAGTAACTTAAGAGTGTAGGCGCAAGGCCAATCTGATGTCTTAGATCTCGAAGTCGGTGTCGTCCCCGAGCTCATAGGAGGGCCTTTATGGGGAACAGTAGGCTTGTGCTGTATCTTTGCCTATAGGTACCACTTCTGGATGTGTCTGACATTAAACGATTACCGATTACGCCAGGAGAAGCCGGTCCGTAGGCGGAGTAATGATTGGGTGTCACAGATAACTGCGCTTAGCTGCTTACAGTAAAACCCAGAGAATATGTTGCCACGGCGCTGGTTCCGCGAACCTGTCTCTCTAAGACGAGCATCGTGGTCACAACGCAGTCTGTCACCAAGCCAAATTAGATCTCGGATTCGGGGTAACGATTGTCCGGCCAGGCAATCACTTCGGTGCCCCTCAACTCTCCAAAGTCAAGGCCCGAAACGAAATTTGACTGCAATCTTTCGGGCTCTGATTCGCCAAGTGATGCCAAGTGGGCGCACTTGTGACATTCACGTGACAATGACGTAACAGCCACGTGATCAACACACGGTCGGTGCAGTGCTTGTCGTTTGGTGCAAAGTAGCAAGGCTGATTCAGTGCTGCAGGGGCAAACCACGTCTGGCCTTGGTCTTTTCACCTACCTCCCTCTATGGACTGGTTGAGGCTGTAAAGCTCAGCAGGATCGTATCCAGAATCTTGGCATGCTGTTACAGTACATGTAAAATATATTAGTACAGTACTGCCAGCTGACGCCGCCACGAAATAACGAACAAAGCTGGGACTCGCATCTCACGTGACCTGTGCCAAATTTAGGCGCACGGAATCCACGCCTCGCGAACCCCGTCTTCGATCTGAGGAAAGGTGTGTCATCGTAGTCTGTTCCACAGGGAACCTTTGTGCTAAGGGATTCACTATAGGTTTGAGAAGAGAAAATGATTCAAATGGACGAGTTACCCAATGAATCGCAAAGACGTGTGATACCCACAGCTAACGGTGATTGGATGCTGCCCAAATGGCGCATCTTACCACAAGAAGTATGGCGTTGCACCATGTGGGGTTGGCTCCCCTTTCACAGAAATACATGGTGCTGCTGAACAGGACACCGAACTCGCACATGGCTGTATACATCCTTATGATTTCAGATTTGGAATACGATTCTTGTCTTCTAGTTTACGATGAGATCAGGAGCAGCTGTGGCATAGGTAGCCCTGGTGCGCTGAAAGACAATGGATCAAAGTCTGCCCTTTTCAGCGGCATTGCTGGCTTGCGGGAACGCGAGAAGGATCTGGCAGCCGATGGTTATGAGGCGCTGAGCCAGGGGCTTACTGAACACGATAAGTACTGTACGTCCAGCTGAGGCCAATAGCGGTGCAGTTAATTCATGGCAAGTCTAAATCATTTGTTTGCTGAAATCTGTCCATCTAGTGGTTAAACTTCCACAAGTGATGTGAGGTCGAAGCCGCTGCTGTGCTTTGAGATGCGTCCCCAGAGGTGTATCCGGCGTCTGAATCAGACTCAACAGAAGATGCCAACGCGCTTAACAGGACCTTCTTCAACAGGAGAAAGTGCCCTTTTTCTTTTCCAATTGACCGTATCTTCTGCCGGCTTGCCGTCGCGTGACCCGTCAGAGTCCTCCTGCAAAGGCAGTGGCGCATCCTGTACTGGCACCTGTAGGCTGATATATTTTTTGTACAGCCTTTCCCCAGCTGCTTCATTGCGGCTACGTTCTGCAGGCGTTCTCAATTCCGACTGCAAGTCCTCCTCGCTCATTGTAAAGCGTAAATGATCAATATCTTGCTCACAAACCATGATTGTAACAGTCAGGCATAGATTGTTCTCTTGGTCGGAGTGGTTGCTGACGGTGAAATCTTCCAGCTGGATACGACCGTGTGGCCTGCCCGTGGCTGACAGTGCGATTGCGTCGCGAATTCGTGATACTCGGGTAGGTGGGCTCATATTGATGGGCTCAGCTGGAAGAAGCGCTTTGGGCTCCGTATGGCTCTGGCCCACTCTATCCTGGCGTGGCGCCTTTCCACCGACACTCTTCTGCAGACTGCGGTAATAGTCAACAAATCTCACACAAATCTCCTCTACAGAGAGAGTCGAGTTAATTTGCTCGTGCTTCCATTCACAATAGTCGTTGTAGATACTCGAGCGCAAGGCGTCAAGCACGTTGGCATCAACTTCAATTGTCAGCTGGATACACTCCTCGTCATCGTTCTTTGGGATATCGTAAGCAGCAATGTTGAAGTCTGCTTCCACAGGCTCGGCTGAATGATTTTCCTTCAGCCGCGAGTGAAGAGAGTCCTTTAGGAGTATCCTATCTCTTTCTGTGATATTTGGCGAGTCCAGCGCATATAAAATTGATGCCGTGACTAGGTCGTCGTCGGAGCCATCGTCGTCGGAGCCGTTATCGTCCTCGTCAGAAATTTCATGTCGTTTCTCTTCTTCGTCATCCACTTCGTCTTCTTGGTCGCATTCTTCGCCGTCCAGCTTCGCCCATGTTTTCTCTATCAGATGTTGTGTGGTATCGGACAACTCTCTGAAGTGTAGAATTGTGGGTAATAGCTCCTGCCTGAAAACTCCCTCGGTCTGCGCAGTCGGCTGAGTGTTGCACATCGTGAGTTCAGGGATAGGTTAGCGCATTGTAAGGTCGATATCAGCTTTATGTACCCCTGTGTCGGCAACAATTCCCCATACTGGACATTTGCAAAGAACCACTACTTACAGGATGGATGGGAGCCTGACGGCTGAGGTGGTTGCCTGCTCGGCTCCAGGAATGACGTCAATCTGAGCTTTACCATAGCTGTAATGGTGCAAGTCAGGTAGACAATGCCGGTGCCGTAGTGGGGATTCCTTTGATCCTGAAAACAACCCACGACAGTACGACGATGGCTTCGTCAGCCAGTCTGTACCCATTCTTGTGTTTCAGCATATGCGACCGCAAAACGACCGCGTCTGCACCCCCCGCAGAATGATAAGCAACCTGTGCTGCCCATTCGCCTACGGCACGAATTGTGGGTAAGGTAGCAATCAGCCGGAGCACAAGCCGAGCATACGGATTCCTCCCACTGAGTTGTGAGGCGGTGGAAGGCGGTCACCAAGTGGCCGCAGTCTCTGAAACACGATCAAGCACCCATCATTCTACTAGGTGTGCACTGTAGTGCCTTTCAGGGTCAACGTAGTTTCCGCCCGGACCGATGGTCTTCGCCTCGACCGAACCACATTTGAAGTATCCTTCAGTGGTACTGCAGCACGGTATCTCCTTTCTTCAGCCCTTTTGATCACCGGAACTCGGGCTTCCTATGCCGCACTTCGGTGTGCAGCACTCCCTTGCCTGGGTCCTCGAATTGTCACAGAGCGAAACAGGAAGTGAAAGTCGAGCTATTCTGACTGATGTGACACGCCCGCGGTCCAAAATCTCACATTGCATGAAGCGTTCGTTCTACCGTGGCGAATACATTCGAAACTTCCATTGACTTAAACTAGATGGACGGGCTGTGTTGAAAGATATAGTCCGCACCTTGCCGGTTATCGGCTGTCCTCTCTACTCAGAATGGCGGTCTTTACTGTCAGACTTCCACGACTGTGGCAGGACGATTTCCTGAGTTGAAGGTCCGAGTTGGAGTCAAATGCCAAGCGGGGCAAGCGGGCCTGGCACGGGCCACAATTTTCCGTCGTCACTTGTGGCCCGTGCGTCCATTCGGCAATGGCCTTGGACAGCCGTTAGCCATTGCAACTGCAAGAAAACCTTATTCGACTGTTCCCCAGGCCAGTCGACGCTTGAAAACCTCACCAATACTTCTATGAGGGATTTTCTGGGGCTCGTTCAGGAGGTCATCGCAGACATCTCTGTGACGGATGTACTCACACGCTCGTTCTCCCATCGATCAGCCATAGGATCAAATATTGTACCGCTGCCGCTGGCCACGGTCCTGTCATCGGATGTTTCATTCTCGGCAAATAAGGCTGCATTCTTCAGGCAGCATGGGCCTAATTCAACATCTCGGATCATCCAACCGGAACTAAATGCTTCCAAGAACGGAGACAGTAGCATTACGCTACCTCGTCATGAAAGGTGAGTTCTGCGGCAAGAATCAAGCATCTGCCATCAATCTGAACGACGTTGTGTAGGCGTGCCTCGCCTGCAGGATGCCTCATCAGATATGTGTCGTGGTTGAAGGCTCTGGTACTAATGACTGATGTGTGGCAAGGGTACTCATTGATCTCCCAAACGGGATTATTGTCGTAGAATGGATATAGGTTGTTGCCAACTGCGCCGCGCTCTCTGCCGTCGACATGCCAGTTCTGTGCCATGGTGAAGCAACCCGCACCAAGACTGAACCGGTTGTCAAACATTGTACCACCTAGCAAGTGACGTATGGCCATCCATATCAACAGCTCGCAGAACATGCCGCAGTCCAGTGTCGTGGGACCTACGACGAGTTCATTGAGGGCCTGACTGAGGGGCTTGTCGCCACAGTGGCTCAATATCCAAACACCATCTTGTACCTTACTTGACCACCCTGGAGGACATTGACGTTTAAACTCCCTTGAATATAGCCATGTCTTGATGTGCTAGTCAGTCCACACCCCCTCCGCGAGGAAGGCATCCTATTACCGTATCAGATACATTTGGCGCCACTCCTCGACGGTGTACTCTTCAGAACACCATACGCGATACTCTCCTTCATCCGCCATAAAAAGAACACGCCGACCGTTTCCGCCCTGCGGTCATCCTTCAGCAGGCCCTCCGAGCGGTGCCTGTTAGATCCCATAAACAGCTGATTTTCCAGAATGAGCATACTATGAGCGTCTGATACGACATATATAGCTCGTTAGTTCCTCTCATTGCTCTGTCCTGGCCCATAGCTGAATCAGTCTCGATCTTCACCTAAGGTTGGTACACTACGACACGACTACATATTGCTAATCCGGTCCGGTCAGTCTGTCCGTCCTCCTTCCACTCCTCCTGCGGGAGGCTGTGATTGCAACACTGATCAGCTTGAAGCATCGACAACTTTCCAACGTCCTGAATGTACTCTTCCGCAGTGGTCCACTGACGCTCAGGACCGTGGAGGATACAGCTGGAGAGAATCACTCCTTTGGTCAATACTTGTCAGTGGAGAACGGTATTGCTGGTGACGCCATGGAATGCACAGCAGTGGCTATGGACTTTATGGAGATTGGAGGTGGCACGAGATCCTGCAGGTTGGATCTGGCTTCGGGTGGAACACTTCTGCTGCCAGACGGGCGGTACACCTTTGGTCCTCCAGTGCTCATTGAGTCTATGATGTGAGAGGGCCAGCTGCATTAATCTGCAATAAGTCTTCATGATTGTACGGCACGCTGCACGTTGTGCAAAGATCCTTCTCGGTTCCTAATTGAGGTTGAGTGAAGACGTTGAGGTTATGAAGCTCAGGGCCAGGTTTGGGGGCTTTAGTCTGACAATCTTCCTTATTCTTTCTATGGACTTCTCTGTGTCTCAGGGAGTTTATATACATCGTTGAACACACGGAATGCTTCCTTCATGCTGACCAATCAGATCTCCCTGTGGGCTCACTCTTGGGTTGTCTGGAGCATCTATACTCTCAACAGAAGACCTACCCCATGCCCGAAATGGAGTTAGTTATTGCCAAGGCTGGAGATCCGCTTCCACTGCCTCAATCGCAAGCGCCCACAAGGCTCACCTGCGATCATAGCCCTCGTGCAAGAAATTACAACCTATCGCAAAGTCAGCCTTGCACTATTGTACTGTAATCACCTTGACGGGCTTGGTCCACGAAATGGACGGCTTACGCATCGCGGACGCTTTGGTGATGAACGCTTTTCCGCTGTACGCGTACTCCCTGACCTTGTCACAATTCCCGGTCGCTATGGCCATACTGTACTACACTCCCCAAAGTCATGACTTCAACGATGCGACGCAACATTGCGCTCTACCACTGAAGTGCATCGAAACAGATGTGGGAACACACCCTTAGGGCAGAGCATTCTCAGCAGCCTCCAGAAACACACCTACTACTCATGGGATGGCAGTCTGAGAGCGACTCGGTTCAAATGGAGACAGAGCAAACAACAAGACCATACTGTACGACCATCGACAAGATGTAATGGCTGCAAGTGTGGCTGGAGGGTGGTCGCATGATCCGAATCGCTGGCTGCTGTCCTTCGTTCCGCAGGGTGTGGAGATATGATCACGCAATGGTCTCACAATCCGAAGGGCTGTGCGTGAAAACACGTCACCGAATCAATTATACAACCATGAGATTCCGCGGTGCGGTTCAGGCTCAAAAATTACCCCATGCAATGCTCACATGTTCCACATCCAAGCCAATTTCTTGCTTGCCTCTACCGGGGATCAGGCTGACATACGTGCAGTACAGCACCAGCACGCTAAGTAGGCAGAATCCGAGGACTTTCTATAGTGACAGTGCAGTATTGCGAGGCTGCTAGGAGATGTTTGATTTATACTTCGTACCACTCTGCCACTGCATGTACACCCTTGTTCCCTCGCTTGCCATCTTTGTTTGTCCATCTCGTCTCCTGCCCATCGTTTGCTACACACGAGACTTAAGCAGCGGTCGGTGCGAAATATAGCCGAAGCCATGCGCTCCGCCCTCTTTGCTGTTCTCGCTACTACGGCGTTGGCATATCGTGGCTTCAACTACGGCGCAGTGGATTTGGCTGGCGCAACCCGCAATCGGACGTCCTTCCAGGAAGAGTTCCAGGTCGCGCGCAACTTAGGTACACAAGGTGCCTTCACATCTGCTCGTCTATATACCTCACTACAGGGAAGCAGCACTGATCCCATCGAGGCATTCGACGCGGCCGTGAATACAAACACTTCTCTCCTCCTCGGCCTCTGGATTTCCGGCACGTCCAACATCCAGAATGAAGTGAACGCCATCCTCTCATCCGCTGCCAAGCATGGTTCTGCTTTCGTCGACCTCGTTGTTGGAATTTCCGTCGGCAGCGAGGACGTCTACCGCCTCACAGATCGCGGTGTTACCTCGGGCGCGGGCCCAGGTGTTTCCCCAGGGGATGTTGCCAACTATGTGAATCAGGTGCGATCTGCGCTGAGAGGATCCCCCCTTCAGGGCAAGCCCATCGGTCATGTTGATACGTACAACACCTTCGTTAACAGCTCGGGCTGGATGGTGCCAGTCGTCGAGGCAGTCGACTTTGTTGGCATGAACGCCTTCCCGTACTTCGAGGACACGAAGCCCAATGCCATCGACAACAGTAATGCTACCTTCTGGGCGGATTACGATGCCGTTGCCGCTCAAGTCGGCGGAAAAGAGATTTGGATTACCGAGACTGGCTGGCCTTCCTGTAAGCACTCTCATCATGGTCTTCCAACGTCCTCGCGTTGGGCGCAACAAACCCTCTCGTCACTGCTAATGCGGGTATGTCACAGCCGGTCCCCGTTCTGGCGCTGCCATTCCTTCCGTTCTGAACGCCGAAACGTACTTTAACGAAGTATATTGCTCCATAGCCGCCCGTGACATGAATGTCTGGTGGTATACCCTTCAAGACCGTGATACAGATGGCGGAGTGCCTAGTTTTGGTGTGACCTCCTCAGGCGGGCATGAGCTGAAGTATGAGATGTCTTGCTGAGCCATACATGGCCATCTGGCTACACCCTGTGAGCGAAGCCAAAGAGAACAGACAAGTCTGAGGAACGATTCCTGACTTGGTGCAGGGTCGGTTTACCATTAAAGAAAGACGGGGACAAATAGCAGGCTATTTATATAGAGGACAGTGTACCGTGGCTGTTACTCCTCAAGACTGCGTCTTGACTGTTCCCACTGCTCACGAAAACTCCCTCTCAAGTGTACTGAAGCAAAGACGGTTTGATCGAGACTTCCTCTGCAGCCTAATGCTTAAGCAAGTTCATGCCAACATGGTCCAAAACATATCTTCATTGGGTCGGCATCGAAGCTCTGGGGGAACGTGCAGGTCCTTCAACATCATTTCAAATGGGGCATCATTGGTATCTGTTGTGATCCCTCCGGCAAAGTCATCCTCGCGTTGAGTATGCCAAGACTGTGGCTTGTCATGCTTGTCAGTCACAGGAGCTCGTCTTTCAGAGGCACCCACCTCTGGTCCTTGCTCGCTTGAGGGTTGTTGCGTCTGTAATGGCTCCAGCGGAGGTAGACTTCGTAGTTGGAGATAGAATAAAGGAACTTTCGCCCAGCCAGAGGACCTTTGCACGCCTCGGACATCGTGGACGGTTATAGCCTCCTCGTTCTCCTCATAGTAGCAGAATCTGTTGCCAGACAACACCATTGAGACAACGGCGATGGTCCAGAATTGCCGAACATGAATATTTCGCTTCGTGGCTGTACAGCCCAATTGTTTGCGTAAGCTAGGCAGCTGGTTCCATCTCTCGCAGAATATTTTAGCAATATGAAGTATCTCTTTCGTTGCTTGTTCAATGGTGGTATCTGCAACTGTTCCCAGCCGTTTCACGTCCATGAGTTGATCCATGGCATCCACAAGCCTGGTTGAAGAGACCAAGGGCCGCCACTTCGATACCTCGGATATGTAGGGCATGAGGACTGCATGGGGGAAGACCTGTGGTGGCTGGTATGGAAACGGGCCCCATTGTACTTGGTAATGCGACAGAACTTGGTGCTGGAGGACCGAAGACGCCGAGTGAGAGGCCATGATGATCTCTATGTCGGTTGAAGATGAAAGGCAGCAGAGGCTGAAGCAATCTCGGCAGAGGCGGACTGGCGAGGGTTTTATATATTGATAGTCAAGGCGTTCAGCCCCTGAATACAAACAGACTCGGCCATCCCCATGTCATTACCTGACTGCCAAGTCCCTGGCCATGTCCAAAATGTGCCTCGATATGCAAGGATGTCTGCTTTTTGGCGGCTTCGTGGGATGTCTGCTACATTTAGTTGGTAAACTACCGAGAAAAGCAACATCATATTGCACCCCTTCCTGCTCTTTCTCCGGCAGCTTAGCATGTTGCATTACCTTCTCGTAAAGTCGGCCCCAGCAACTCCAGGATGTCGCAACGACAGCTCCAGAAACACGCAGCATCTGGAAGAGGTAAGTTCAAGAAACATGAACACAGTCTGAAGTACCCATATCAAGCAGTGTGGTCGATCAGGGCAGTCATACAGAGCCTCGAAGCCTCCTTGTAAGAATTTTTCATTCCCTTACTTCACCTCTATAACATCGATATTCACCCTTCCTGGGAAGCAAGCCGCACTGGCAGTGCAACTGACTGCTTCGGCCGTCCTGCCGGCCAATCTCGATAGAAATCATGTTGCTGGCGGTAAAAGTCCCTCTCCTGCTCCAGATGATGCACTTTGTTCAACAACGCCTCCTTCTCCGCTTGCAGCAGATCTATGGTGTTCTGTAAGGTCTCCTCCTTGATTTTTCTTCTCTTTCGAAAGCGCGCAGAAGCTAATGCATTTTTCGTCCTCCTGACATCCGCAACTTTCGATGCGCTGTGTGTGTCAAGCTCCCATGATATCGCCAAGCCCGAACCTGTATTTTGGGTCAACCCGCACGAAAATGGGCTTAGGTTGGAGTAGTTTGGCGTGGCTGGATCGAATTCAAATCCACCTGGATGCCATGGAAGCGCAGACGCGGTCGATGTACTCAAGGGTGGACTCGAAGGCGAGATGTCGTTCAGGCGATTCCGGGACCATAAGGGAGGATCTGTCACAGCTCTGGGTGATTCTGATCGGTGGCCTGGAGTTTCGAACGATGCCCTTTCTGCATCAGATACCAACAAATTTTTTAGATCCATCCTTACTGGCCGAATCTGTGTGGCTGGGGTTGCAGGTACACAGCCACGCTTGTTGATAGTGCCAGCGCGGTATTTATATCGACAGAGATACCCCTGCTTTGTTGTGACTGGCCACCAAGACTTCGAGAATTGATATGGAAGAAGTGATTGTACGCAGCCGTGGGTCATGTGCGGGTCCACAGGCACTGTTCACTGTTCATCAGGGTAGGACCGAAGGGGTGCAGACTGGTCATTCAATTATAATGAGAAGGAAATGGAATTGGACAGAGTCGGGAGCATCTCAGGCTTTGTAGCGGAAATCTTTGGACTGGTGCGGTCCTGCATCCTTGTCGTCGTCGAACCCTTCGTCTGCAACCAGAATGCCTCCATATGCTCGTATAGCCGAGTGGCCCCACGCCTCAGACAGTACGCTAGTCTTGGAATGGTGAAGATTTGTGGAGGTTGTATATCTGGCCAAGGCCTGGGCTACGATGGAAAATCTGATCAAGGTTGTGGGCAGCGAAGGATAACCCAGCAGTTTTACAGCTGTAGAAACTAAGTACCATACTACGCTGATACGAGAGGGGGGAGAGAGAGAGAGAGAGACAGAGAGAGAGAGAGAGATGTGATCAATATAATACTCCTCTAAACACTGAAGTATTCTTTCATGGGGTTGGCCTCCAAAGCTGCAATTAGACTTATCACCAGCTTATAGTTATGGTCCAGCCCAGAGCGACGGTCCAAGCCTGTGACAGAAACGGTGCGACGCGCAAGGTTCTCAGGGACCTGTCTGTAGATCTCCTGGATCACTGCTTCATAATCTCTGGATATGACCACGACTTTGACCTTGCATCTGTTCGAGCTTACAGGCTTGGCGGTACTCTCGCGGAATGCAATTGTTGCAAGGTGCGCATACTCACTTGAGCCATGACCAAATGTGACGCCGATCACGACGAGCTCATTGGGTATACCACTGTCCCGGGCAATGGCGACTAACTCATTCGCATCTTGCCTACAACAGACCCTCTGACCAGGTGTCACTAAGAATTGCGGGGCCTGAGAAAGATTAGCAGCAACCAACAGCTGTTGTGACGTACTCACCAGAGTTTTGACATCCCTGAACTTATGTAGTCCTAGGCTTCGCTGAAGAAAGTCCAATGGATGACTGGTCAGACTCTCTTGGATAGCACAAGCTAACTCCCCATCGATGGCTCTCATTGCCATAGTTTGAAGCCGTCTGTAGGTTGATCGTCCCAGAACGAACGTATCACAAACATCTGCCGCCTTGGAGAGATGGACAACCGCAGGTCCCTGGGGCGAGCAGGGCAAGTACAGCGGCAGCAGTGTTGCAGGAACCTCTTCCGGCCACTTTTCTTGCAGCATTTCCAATAGCCACAGAGATACGTACTCCGATTCAGCCTGGGGTTTGAGTTTCCCAATGTACTTTAAGCCAAATATTACCATGGAAATATATTGTTCACACGGCAGGAAGAGTCCAGGGATGCACCCTGATTGAATATTGAGCGAGGCTAGGTATGTGGATGAACGCGCACTGAAGGGATCGACAACCAGCCGCCGTTTGTTGTTTGAAATTGGCTGGCAAACAGGGTCCTCTTCTTTCCGCCTGGTATCGCAGTTGCCCGGAAATGACGCGCGTCTTAGCAACCGAGGTGACTGGGTGTTCTCAACACGTGTTTGAAAGTGCGCAGCGGTGAAGTGAGCAGCACACTCCGGATAACGAGGAGGATCGTTCGGTCCAGCGGTGCCTGTCACCAATCCATCAGTCTGAATGGTGATATGGAGGTTGTTGAAGTACGATCGATGGCACAGCGATTGAGATATTTTTTCGTGAGAGTAACTAGGGTCCTTGCCCATGGCTGGCGAGGTTTCGACCGAATTCAATTGTCAAATGACTAGTTATGCGGCGTACAGGCTGTCTACTTATACCCTTCGTCATTGTCAGGACAAGAAATTGGAGCTGTAAAGTGGAGCTGTAAATCAGCCAAACCACGTTCTGCTTGAAAGCATACAGGAAAGGGCCCAATGTCTTGGGAGGAATCTTCAGGCCTATCACTGTGTCTTGGCTGATAGGGTGATGCACCTAGAAACCGCCCTGAAGGTTGTCTGGGCGACAGTACGAGTAGTTTGGGTTCCTGCAGTTGACGTTTACGACGTTTTGGAGCTGAGAGAGTGACATGTTCTACATTCGACGATGATAATTTCGGTTGATCCGAACCTAGCACCAGCTCCAGTCCATGCATGGACCAATCGCCGACTTCTCCCGTCTATACGCGTCCGTCTGTATTGCTGGCCATGCCTTCGAGATGGGCCCAAGCGTCTCGGAGGCATAGCCAACATGCTGCCAGGTATGAGCTGTGCAGTCCAACGAAACTAGAGGCGCAAGCGATCACGTTGCACTGGATCAAGCTGGAGTGCCTCTTCCAAACTTCTCATGAACCTTTGTTCATCAGGTTCACTTAAAGGGGCTTCTGCGCGGTCTGCGGTGACGGCTGGCACGCATTTCCGATGTCCCGTATCTTTGTTCTTCACGGCGCGTGCTGATCCAAACCGAAGCGGTGGATCAGCTTGCTCAGATGGTAAAGGTAGATGCGAGCGGCTAGCGTCATACCATTGACCATCATGCCGTTTCCAATGATTCTCAAGGCCCTCCCTATGTACCAGTGACAGTTGAGCCGTGCGGCATTGACATGCGTCCATCCGTCCAAGTCCTCGGTCGTTGGCTCAAGTGGGTTGTGAAACATGTCGATGTCGGATGCAGGAAATCGGCCGCGAATTACATCCGCGACAAGGGGGGCAGTGGCCTTCCGGACGACGATTTCCCATGACCCGTCCGAGAGGCGCTCGATGCTCGGAATCTGCAAGTCTTTGAATTTGCTTCGAAGTAAAGACACTAAGATGGTGGCGTCCGTGGAAATGATGCCCCTGATCCGAACATATTTGTAGCAATCCAGGACAGAATCGTGCCACTGAGCGGGATTTGCACTGGTAAAGCATTCGCCGAGCCTGCGAACGTGAGCAAGTTTAGGCGACGGGGATCGTAGGAAATACCTTGAGACTGCTCCAGTCGGGTCTGTGCTGATGGACAAACTGTCAAGCAAAGGGCATAGCTGCAAGGTGAACAATCTGCCATAAGCCATCTTCATGCCCTTCATGTGGGAGTGCCCTGCCGTCCTCCATCGAAAATATTCGTCGGTCAGTCCGTCGAGATAATGGAGGGCAGGTTGGTCTCGATCCAATGTGGTTGCGAGGAAAATTGCGAGGTCCTCAAATTGCTGCTCTTGGACAACGCGGATCAGAGAGAACACAACCCTCTCCATAACCTTTCCGCTGTTTTCAAGACGCAGGCCAGTCACACAGGCATGCATGTCAGCCAAGAAGCTCCCGTAGGTCAGCTCTAGTGTATCGTCGTCATAGTCGGGATGCCACCTATGGAAGCTCACTAACGCTGCCATGGTGATGACAAGCTGCTCGAGTGGTTGTTCCGTCTGTACGTCCTTGAGCAAACCGTCATAGAGCTTCGAGGCATCTTCTGAGTCTAGCCATTGCTGCAGGGCCTCGCAGTTTTGGCTTCCCATCTGCTGACCCCAGATCAACAACATCAGAATGTTATTCTTGTCTTGCGCAAGTGCAGGAATTTGTTGGTAAGTAGAGAAGCTATTCTCAATTATCAGGTCGACACTCATTCACTGGGGTCAAGGCGTCTTACCGGAAAGCTGTGAACATGTTCACTTGCTCAGTGCTGAGTCCCGATAATACGTGGGGTGGGACATCCTAGAACCACAATCAGCACGGACTCTTTAGAGGCCTACATTACTTACAAGATGACTCGGTGGATATCCCAGATAAAGACACCCTCTTATCTGTGTGATGAGAACCTCTAGGTTCTGAGCGCTGAGGGTGACGTTGGAGAACATCGGAGATTTGGATAGCCTCTGTCGCATTTTCTCCACATCATAGTTTTCGAAGTCGATCCTCGCACGAGTGCCGAAGATCGATCCGAGTAGATCTCGGTTCTCGCTCGCCGAATATTTCCCAGAGACTTGGTATAAGTGATTGATATCCCCTCCAGCGGTGGTGTACAATGCCCGAAGCAGAGACGTTATCTGGGCCCGTTCGCGTTTCGGTCGCGCGGGTATCTTCGAACAGCTGATCGCCGACCGGAGTGTATCAAGCAGGTCTTCTTCATTGATTGCCAGAGTTGTCTGCACCCCTTCAGACGCGTGGTCGGCGTGGAGGAGCAGACACAAGATGACATAATTTTGCCAAAATATCGATCGACGATTGCCAGGTGCTTGCTGAAACTTGTGTGAGATCGAATTCGCGAGATTGGAGGACTCTACAAAGATACTCACCGATATGTCACGTAACAGGACTTTTTCATCAAGCTCTTCCTCCCATCCCCGTTCCTGGGTGTGCTGTCGACAGGCCTGCTCCACACCGGGAGGGTACTCGGGAGATGTCAAATCGACCACGCGTGAAATCCAACAGTGACGAGCCCTTTGAGCCGCCCCGATCTGTCCATAAACGCATATTTCAGCGTCACTTGGCTGGGTCGGATCGTGGTCAACATCAAACCAGTCATGGCTTTCAGTGGAATTAGCGAGGTATGAGGACTGTATCACCATTGTATTCACGTGGGAATGATCGCATCTTGGGAAGGAAACGATGCGCCCCTCCTCGATGAGACAACACGGCACTGCGGGAATGGCTGGCACACCAATGATTCTCCATGGTGTGGCGGAGCCATCCGAGGGTAGGTCCTTCGAAGATTGATCGTGCATGATTCTTTGATTAGCCTCAAAAGACTCTCAGTGGATGAAGCAGGAACGACTGCAGGAAATGGATGAGAATGAGGAGAAGTAGCACACAAATGGGGCGTCAGTGTTCGGTTCATATATGCACCTAAGAGTTGCGAGGGCGAAACATCAAGGTGCAAACAAGTCCACCTGCGGAGCTGTCCTGCATGGCCCACCGTTCTTCAACCATTAGCGCCAGCCTCTTTCCTGTGAGGGATCATTGCCCAAAGTCAGCAAGCGAACGTCCCAGCGACCCCGAAGCGATCGCGAAGTTCGTGATCGCCGCTACGCTCAACTTGATTCATGCAGGATAGATTTTCGGGAATACAAGGAAAAAGGAGAGGACATCTCTTGTTGTGCTAAATGCAAAAGTGACGCCTATGAAGCCGCACCATGAGCGACATCAGGTTCCAACCTCCCGTCTCCTTCTAGTTCAGCCGTTTGGTAGGGATAAACAACGGAACCGTCCACGAGCGAATTCGACTTTCCGAGCGCGGCCAAGCTGTTTTCTATGGGAATGCTGAAGGAATCTGTGAGTAGAAATCAAATGCAGGCACAAGACAACTAACCGAAAGATCGTTGGTACACGTGAAGCTCGAACCGGGACCCGTCCGACATGTGGGACAGCTGAATTGATCTCGGTCTGGATTGTCAAGGTCCAGCCGAAAGGAGATGGCGGTGGTGCCGGAGGAACTTCGTTGGGCGTTTGGCCTCGGCACGACTGCTCACTCATCCCCGGACTTGTCGCAATTACAGTCATGGTGCAGAGGGTGGTAAAGGCCACACAAACCGGGCGCAGCATGCTCGCCGTAATTATAGTTGACAGTAGGGGGGCCATGCATGATGCACAGCTCTCGTCACGATCCAAAAGACGCTAGCAGGGATGGTGCCGCATTTTGAAAAATGCGGCACCATCCCTGCTAGCGTCTGCGCCAAGTAGGTTGAGCGGTATCTCCCCTTGAAGCCTCTGGCTGGGACATCTTTCCTTTCAGCTACCGCAGATATGGCTCTCGAACCACCAGCGACGCATTCTATCACCCATGCTGAGCAAATAAAAGCCTACAAAGCCAGGGGCGCCAAACTAGAGCGACGACCTCTTAACCAGGGGCAGCGAAACCGCTTGGGGATCCCACTGGCTCTCGTAGGGCACACTGCAGTCGTTACTGTGGCGATTCAGCCTTTTCAAGATGATGAATATCCTGGCTGCATCTTTTTCGCGGTCTTCGTCGAGCAGATAAACACTTGCATCTTTGGGAAAGACGTGCAGGAGTTGATATCAGAGAGAGTGGGCAAGATCCTTCGCCACTTCTATTCACAGGTGACGGTTGATGTTGCGAAAGCACTTGGAAAAGCTAGAATCCGCCCAAACACCTCATGGTGAGTGTGCTCCGCCTGCGTTTATGGACTCATTCTGATAGTCAAAAGCCCTTGTTTAAGCTCCCCAGGCTCACAGGTCAGCATCGATCCCAAGATCCTCGTTGCAACACAACATGCGCAAAGGCTCATCCTGTCAATGAAACGCGGTCTTGAAGAACTGAGGAAATACTCCGCAGATGGAGGCATCCTGCCGGATTATGTCTCTGGGACAGTGTCTACCCGATCAGTCGAGCCATCTGACAGAGGACGTTCTACTGGCTTGTCTTACGAGGACTATCGACAATTATTCGAGGATCAGGCCGCAGAGTATTCGGCTGAAGGAGCAAAATGGCAATTTCTTGCGTGGTGTTCGTATTTCAGCGCTGGCACTATTGACTCTATCGCGCATCTTCTTCCTATGAGGAGCGCTGCTGAGTCCATTCCTGTCACAGACGACAAACGCACCGCGAAGACAACACGTAAGCGCCGCCGACATTGGACACTCATTATCAATTCCATAGTCTACGGTCTTCCAAGTCGGCCACTTTCGGCATATGTCGCACTGGGAGGTAAGTGGCAGATTTCCCTTCTGAGACAGCGTTTCTCACCCCCAAAAGTGCAGGGCTACTATATTTCGGCCCACGAGAATTTGACCAGGGCACAGTGCAATATCATTGCATGGACGGTGGTACAGGAGATGAAGCAAGAAGATTGGGCCATCCAGGCCGAGAAGGTATCCCTGTACGACCCAGTACACTGTATAAGCGCTTGTACGCAAGTGGAGTAAGCACGACTACCGTTGGACCCTACCCAAATTGACTGGAAAAGGTTCGATACAATAAATGCAGGCTTGAAAAATCTGTCAACAATGGCTTTGTATGATGATGGCAGTGATCCCACCAGTTCTACCAGCCAACTGGAACGACAAGGACGACAAGACCAATCGGTCACTGGTGTCGCCATATCCGATAACTTAAGTGACTCTGAGACATCCTCTGTCTCTGGAGCGAGCGAGGCTCTTGCAGCGGCCGCTTTACAAGGTTTGTAACGTCAGCTGCCGCCTTGACCACTGCTGATGGATATTGAGATATGAGAAACCCTTCTTCGGCTAGTGCGATCGCCGCCAGCTCGACCTTAGGCAAGAGAGGCTACGAGGCCAATACCGGTCAAGAAATTGCAGCACGCCGTCCCGAAAAGCGCCCATGTCTGACCCCTATCGGCACCGAACGCGAACCAGATAGAGCCAGTGGACCACATACCGGCCTCCCAGGTCGCTCGGCCGGGCACGTCAGCCCTCCACATTCTGCCTGGGATGGTTCTCAAGCAGAGTCAGCGATCACAACTCCCTGGCATGATCCTTTCGACCTGTCGAGTATCAGCCCTCAGGCACAGGGTGAGTTGTGGTCACAGCCAGCTGGCGACTTTGGTTCTCTAATTGCCTGGGACCCTAACGACTGGACACTTTTGGGGGGTGAACAAATGTATTCTACTACTGGATACGGGCAACTTTGATACCCATTGTGAGGGCCGCGAACAGTCCCGCTGTCACTTTCAAATCCTCAAACTCACGGACCTCCAATTTGTCTCCCATTCCCAAGGCAAGGGACCCAGACAGATCTTGGTCGTTGTGGCGGTGTCTGACTACAGCTTCCAGCCTCTGTCTCATTAACTGGAGCAGTACATCCTCGTCAGAATGGTCACCCTGATGCGCAGAAGTCGTCGATGGAGAGATGTTGGCGCCATCTTGTGATTCAGTCTCGATATGACTTGCACCACGATGATCTCCGTCATAACGACTGTTTGCTGGGTGCTCGGAAGCGGCCAATTCGTTTGGACTGGACGCGCTGTCGCGTGCCTGATCTCCAGATGGCGCTCTGCTGGAGGGGTCTGGATCCTCCCGTTCCACACTCGCAATAGGAGCAGTGGGCGGTTTCTCTGGGTCTGGGGATCGTATGTAAATCAGGATCTCATTTTCCTCCACGAAAAAGTCGCTTCCAAAGTAGAGTATATCCGGACCTCTGAGCTCTATAATCTTCAGTCCTTTGGCTTCTAGTTGTTTGACAACTTGAGGATGCTACACTTGAAGTGAGAATTCGGCAACCCTCATGAAGACTCTGCACCATACCTCCTGCTTGAAATACAGATTCATGAAATGCCCAAGCTCACGCTTCTCTTTGAGTTTTTGCTTCGGCACGCGCCATCTCAGCTTCTTGTCGGGCACCGGCACCAGATCCTTGAGGTTGAAGCGCAGATCTTTGGCGGCATTGCGAACCTCCTCTGAAGCAACGTCGAAGCGCATTTCATAAGCACAGATGTTGGTGGGATAATTTTCGTACTCATCTCAACAGCTGCGTGCTGTGGGCTGCTCTGGGATTAAGTAATTGGACTGTGGAAGATAGTCCCACGCTTTGTGACCCAAAAATCTACAACGCGACGTTTTCTTCAGGTGAGCGAACGTCGTGGTGAACTTCAAGTGGTCGGACACGTGGACAACCTTAATCTGGGAGTTTTGGGGGATTGGACTGCCAAGACTAGGAATCGCTTCTTGCATACTTGGTCCAACTAGTATACCGTACCCCTCATCGCTCCAGGGAACCTCAGGTACACTTCGGAATAGCCGTACGAGCTCCCACATCGGTGTACGAGATTCCGCGAATATATAGATCTTCTTGAGCTTCTGATTCCGACCATGCAGTACGGAGCTTCTCAGGACGCGACACTGTCATTTACTAAACAATTAGCTGACACGCTGCTGTGTAAGATGGGCGAGCACATTACCGAGCCTCTCAGCCGCTCTACTTCCTTTCTGGTACACTGAATCCTGCTTCCTGTTGGTCCTTGATGGTCCACGCATTGACCGACTCAAAGTCACCCTGCTTGGCAGATTGGGAGGTTTGATCACTCCTCTGCGCTGGGGGATCTCGGCCTGCTTCTGTCGGCTTGGTGCCGTTGATACCTTGCTTGTTGGGGGAAGAATGCACCGAGTCTTTACCACCGTTACGGTCAGCCATATTGGCAGGTACGTATGGCAAGGCGAGTGTCAAAGTGAGAGACAGTGCTTTCTATGGGAACAGCAGTAGTTGCAGAACCTATGTTCAATGATGTTGAGAGACTGTCGCGTCCAGAAGATACTCCGACTTTCCCTGTGCTTATATGGCTCCAGGAGTGCGAGGATAGGAGACCAATCCCTGCTGTGAAGGGGGACTCGCGTCAGCCGTGTCTTAACATGCACCTTCACAGACCCTTCTCGATGACAAGACTCCAGTAGTGGTCGCCATTCAAGATGAACCCTTCTCGCCAAACCAAAAAGTTTCGACCAAGGTGCAGATTGCATCTATTCATGCAGCCGTGTGGACAAACTAACTGCTTTTGGGTGTCTGACAATCCAGATCAGCCTCTCGTCAAGCTGGAAGTACGGGTTCGCGAAGCAATATATGCAGATAGTGGGCACTATCACTACACGCGCATGAAACCTGTCCAACATGACCAGTGCCAGTACCTTGTAAATAGAAGTGGCGTCAAGATCCGCGATCAAAGCCCGTGGCTCTCCACTATCTGCATGGTACTGTATGTCAACTAGTAGACGTGTCATTCGGTCGCGGTTGGCAAGCTGTGACGATCATCTAAGCATCGAAATATGCCAGAGAATGTCTCTTTGAATGCGCTTCCCGAAGACTCCTCAAAGTCATTATCGCCTTGATAGTGGACCACAACGACCACGGAGACAGGACTTCAAGTAGCCGGTCTTGCAAAGGAGCAATATGGACTCTACCGGTATGGTCCTCTCGTCAATGCCAAAGAGGTTCGCCATGGTATGTATTCATGCGGCCACATGGCCACACTAACGCTTTCGGTGAAAATAATATTCAAAGTCGACCTCTCGTCCAGGTACGCGATACATACCTGCTCCGCTCATCGACATCCGCCCGGAGCGCGCTCAACTAGTCTATAGCAGCTTGCATGGTCGACAAGGCTTCGGTGAGCAAGGATCTGAATTTACTTGCTTTCAGAGGGTTCAATACGAGCAGACAAGAGCCAGTCGATCGTTAACAGCGAGGCGATTGTGCATTGCAGTGTCTAATAACCGAAAACCGATCCTAGCTCTGACAGCAGCTACAGGGACGAGAGGGACTGCGTGGTAATAGCGGCTTTCGCACGATTCGAATTCTGTCTGCACGATTTCTACGCTGAACAATCGGTCCCAGGCGTACCTTCGCGTCCTATCGATCCTATGCACGTACCCGGTACCCTATCGGTAACCCTGAGAAAGGCACATTCCGCGCTTTTCCAGTCTATACTCAACGAGAAGGTCTCCTTCGAGACCGTACTTCGCCTGCTTGGAGTCTCGGAGCAGAAAGTTGGAAAGCGTTCATCGTTGGCTTGCGACCTGTGTTTGCAGAAGGTAGGAAAGGACTGCCAAGCACATCTGCTCCACTAACCGTTTATCGATCAACCCTTCTCTGCCAACCCTTCTCTGCCAACCCTTCTCTGCCAACCCTTCTCTGCCAACCCTTCTCTGCCAACCCTTCTCTGCCAACC